GCATCTGGGATCTACCTCCTTCCCAAGACCTGGGAAGTTTAGGGGCACTGCTTTTTTAAGCTTTCTGCAACTTTTTCTCTTTTCCCCTTATGGGACTCCCACACTCTGTGTGTTGTTCATTTGAGGTGTCTCATCTTCAGCTTCCTTTACTCTTTCATTCTTTTTTTTTTTTCATTTTGCTTCTTTAAATAATTTCAAATGACTTGTGTTGAAGTTCACCAATTCCTTCTTTGCTCTGATCAAATCTGATTCTGAAGCTCTCTATTGAATTTTTAGTTGTATTCTCCAGCTCCAAAATGTATTTACTTCCATTCTTTCTCTCACTCTCTTTCTTTTTTTTTCTTTTTTAATGCCTTCTTTCTCTTCCTTGATATTCACATTTTTAATGTATCATTTCCCTGATTTTGTTTAGTTGTGTATACATGTTATTTTGTAACTCATAAAAGCATCTTTAAGATGTAGCTTCTTGAAGATGATTATTTTGAATTATTTTTCAGGAAATTCATAAATCTCCATTTCTTTAGTCTTGGTCGCTAGAGATTTGTTTTCTAGTTGGGTCATATTTCTTTACTCTCCATGTATCTCCCAGTTTTACATTTGTGTCTGCATGCTTGTAGAAACAGATGCCTCCCCTAGCCTTTACACACTGGCTTTCACAGGGACAGGGCCTCACCAGCAGCCAGCTGGAGAGTCTCAGGCTTTTTCAAGGATGTGCACATCCCCCTTCTCTCTCTGTCCTGGGCTGTGCGCCTTCTTCCGTTTGTGCACAGCTGCACTGGCCATAGTAAGCTGCCACCACTTTTCCTGCGGCCAGTGTGCTGAAAGGCCAAGGGTGTTGGGTGCAGGCTCCACTCTCTTTCTCCTGAGGGAGAAACCATGGGTCAAGCTGCGCCCTCTTGGTGCTGAACTGTGCCTGCTTGGGGGAGGGACTTCTGGGGTGAAGTGAAGTTGTGTCCTTGCCTGTTTCACCTGGCTGTCACTAGCTCTGTGCTCATCGCCACGCTACAACTTACTGACTTGGATGTGGAGGTCTCATAAAGCTATTTTCACCCATGTGCTATTACTAAATCAGTGTTGCTACTGGGGGACAAGAGTTGGGACTTCCCACTCTGCCAGCTCTCTGAAGTCACTCCCCATACCCTAGTGTTTTTGAACACTCCATCTTGACTTCCTAACGTCACTGTCTTACCTCTTCTATTGCTCCCATCAGTGCCTTCAGATCGGTGTCTCAGTGCCTCTTACTTCATGTTCACTTTCATTGCTGGCATTCCTCCAGACCTCATGCTAAAAGCACTTTTCTTCTATTCAAGTTCCCTCCTTGGGTGATACTGCTATATCCTAGGAAGTCACCTAAGATGCATATAATAATTGGGACAAAATTAAGAATATACTATTATAATAGTGGCTT